GTATTTCCTTAGCTTAAGAGTCCATGGTAACTGAAAATTTTCAGTTTTGTGCCTTTAATCAACGTTTTTCAGAAAAATTCACACAAAAATGAGTTTTTTTAATGGGCATGAAAAGTGTTGAGCCAAAAAACAAAATTTTTATAAAGATACACAAACCAATTGAAAAATGCAAGTTTCTTCACTTTGATTATTTTGACGAGAGCCTGATTCCACCACGCTGCCTCACATATGTAGAAATGTATATTTTCTATCAGTGACGTGTCCCAGTAATGTACTACAGATGTTAAACCTGGCCAATTAGCAGCTCGCAGAAGTATAACAAAATAAAGGGCAACACAGAGGAGCAATGGATAACAAGATGCTGCGGATAAGAATACTTCACCTTCATTTTCACCTATCCCGTAGACTGGATGTCTGTCAGGGCGCTTTTGAAGATTTGGCCACCAGCTTCCTCCACTCCTCCCGGTATTCAGCTTTCCTGAGCGTGTCTTTTTGAGTTCCAGGCCTGTCCATTCCTTGATGTTGTCCTCCCAACTCTTCTTCGGTCTGCCTCTTATCCACACACCCTATCTCACCTCTAATCCTCCCTGATCACCTCACTTGGTGATACATTGCTCCTCTGTGCTGCCCTTTATTTCTTTATGATACTTCTACTAATTGACCAGGTTTAAAACCCACAGCATATTACTGGGACAGGTTACTGATAGAAAATATACTTCACGATCTGTCAAAGATAAGAATAAAAGATTAAAAAAACACAAAAATACGAATATTTGACAGGAGTAGCAGATGTCCCCAAATTTGTACTATGACAAAAATGGAAATGGGCTGGTCACACTGGTAGAGTGAACGATAGAGATAAGATGTACTGAATGGAGACAAAGAACAGAAACAAGATCAAAAGCAAAATTCGAAAAATAAAGATCAGAAGCAAGGTGGGAATATTTGGTGAACCGCAGGGATCACTCGGGTAGTATCGTTCACTTCCTAGCTAGGCTGTACGCACTTTGTAGCCTCTTAAAAAGTGACAAAAGTGCGCGTTGACTATATATAACTCCTAACCAATATTGCTCCTATCTGATTCAAATTGTGTCTATGGGAGCGTAAGTTAATTCATACCATTAATTGGAGTTGTTTTAGCACTGCACTTCCGGTTAAATAAATCCTTATATTTCAGGCTAGGGTCTAGCCTAACCTGACATCTCACTCGTGAAATATTCGCCTTCTATCCTACTGTAACTGTAATCAAAGTACAAACTTGAATCATAATATTCGTAGAGTGTGCAATGTCATGACAGCTGCTCTTGCACCCCTGTAAAGACGTCCCGGCAAAAGTCGCCCACCATTGGCACCAGTCTCCTATAGTGCATTAGTAGCCACATTAAATCTTTACTTTGCCCTTAATTTTGTTCCAAACTGAGTCAATGGTGAGCACCAAAGTGAACAAGGGTGATGTCAGAGTGCGGCGATATATTTTTAGTGCAATGCTAGCAAGTCTATGCTAGCAAACGACTCCCAGCCTTTGGTTTGTTTTGACTGCAAAGCTTGAAATCAAAGTCATCTCTATTTTCACGACAATCTGCCACAAAAACGCAGTTTCTTAATTTTTCAACGTTTGAATCGTACGTTTTCTGCTTGCTTTGCCTATGCTTAGGTTATTATTGTTTTGTTTGGGGTTTACTTTGCTAACAGAGGCATACGAATAGCAACATGTAAATTAGCGTGGCTAAAAATAAAGGAAATCAATTCAGATTTTTCCCCAATCCTTACTCTGACTCCAACGGCATGAAAAACGAGTCTTCATTTGAGACCCTTCAATGGATCCTCATGTCCAACTGACTGGTCATTTGAACTTTGTTGGTCCGGATATATTTCACCTGCAGATATCAGTATGGTATAAAAATTTATTTAACTCGTTATGGTGGTAAACCATGATTCATTCTACATGTGAAAACCGGTTTTAAGGGGCGGAGGGTGGGGTCCCGATTCGGCTGAAAATGATAGATTTTGAGTTAACGGCATTTTTCGCTGCTTTATCCTTTCCTACAACCATTTCATAGAAATAGAACCCTGTAAAGCCGAACTTCTTTTCTTACCGGGAATGTTTGTCATCGACATTTCCTCTTACAGTCAATCTTTTATTTTTCTGTATCGCCCATTTTCTCAAAAGGCGGTTTTTCTATATACTTTTTTGAATAACTCCACCATTTTTTATTCAATCTTCATGAACCTTTCCAAGAATGAAGAGAATATGGTATGCTAGTATGCTAAAAATTCGTCTGTTGAATTTTGGATATTATGAATATATTTTTGTTGGTGGTGTCTGGAGTGTGATTTTTCCGGATTTTATTCAAACTTGAATACTACCTCTCGAAAAAAACTAAAAATTCGAAATAATGCACAAAAATTCCTCTAATTCGTTTAGGAAAAATTCAACACACAGATTTGTTGATCTAATGTTTGTGAACAAACATAAAAAAAAAAAACAACCTATCTATTCCCATAAAAATAAGTGCGGTATTTATTACGTAAGACCTGTCAATAAAATCCAATAAGGCCGCCGTAGCCATGGAAACGGAACTTTAAAAAATTCAAATTTGATTGCGGATTTTGAGACTCCTTACTATGATTGTTATATGTGTGAAATTTGGTAAAATTTGACCTGCTATTAAGCGAGATAGCCCCCACCCCCCTTTTTAATCATTCCATGAAACTCGTAAACTCGTGATTATATTATCTTGGCATTTTCACTCATAGGATAAAACATGATCTACCATCAAAACTCATGTAATAAATTATTTATCTACAATTGCAATCCTATTTTTCCCCAGATAGATGACGTGTTCGGCAATACGGGGCTCCGCTCTGTTCGGAAGCGGTACCTCGGCTGCGTAGTGGACGAGTTTGGGTAAGCAGGTCATTATGGGTCTAGGTAGTAGCATTCTTATTATTATTACGTATTGCGTCTCAGATCTGAAACAGACATCGGTGAAAATCGACTCACCTCTCATTTCTTTGCTGGGATACTTAAGAAAAACTTTTAAAAAATGTTGCTGGTCTTTTCATGTCACCCATTTGTCTAAGCTCTCTTATGCTACAGTGCTGAGGGGGTAGTTGGCAGGTGCTCTGGTATGGTTTGCTCCTGCTTTCCTATCAAACATCTATCATCTCCTCCTTATAATGTGTATGTTATTGTCTAGAAACACTTCCAATCTTCGGCTCTTTCTGTTGCAAATGCCTAAAACTATTAAGAAAACTAAAAACTACACAGCTGTTTTTGACATTTTCTCATCATATTTTTTGCATGTTGATTTAGCATGAGCCTCGTTTTAAGTGAGCTATCCATCATTAGGTACTGTATTAATCATCAATAATTCATTTATTCAAAGAAGCACCAGCCATCCACAACTATATGCTGTTTTAGCCTCATTCTCCTATGCCTCTCAGTTTATTATTTTTTCGTTTAATGTCCATGCATCCTTTCCCTCGGTCAATTTTTTTCCCTTTTATGTTCATGAAAGTCATTGAACTTGTCTCATTTTATTCTGCCAGTGCCGACCGTCAGGTTAAGTTCCGAGTCGTGTTGCAAGAGACGGATGTGGTTCGGCCAAGCAGTATGTTCAACATCTTTGCCTACCACGGCGATCAGGTGCCTCTGGATGGTATCTTCTACCTGCCTTTTGGGGGCGTGTATGTTGCTGTTGACACAGACCCCACTTATCAGATGATGATGATTCAGGACTTTGTCACTCACACCTTCTACATCTCGACCACAACACCCACGAGTGAGTAAGCGTTTCCCTTTGGAACGATGACAAAAATCACTCATAAAGAGAAGAGCGAATGTTCATTAAAGATGTTGGTGATTTCATGCTCCCATCAACACGGTTTAGATCATTTAGGATGCTGGCTTCTGACCCTGCATGTCAGGGCCATCTCGGGGTGAAAGATATACAGCATCCTAGCAGAAAGACCGAGATACACGATAAAAAAAATTCTTCCCACTCGGGGTAGAACTCGGGTCACTTACATGCAACAGCGAAGAACCTAACGCCTACACCACAGACGCCTATACGAATGCCCTTAAACAAAATAAACATGTAAGCACTATGCGCACAATATGTCCACGTACTCTTATTATCAGGCTTAGATTTTTCATTATGAAGTTATTATACGTTTCAAAGTCTACCTGCTCGTGTGTTTGTCATATTACGTATGCTTGTTCTACGTCTTGGATTACTAGAATCATAGCAGACGGCACATGCCCATAGCTGCTCATCTCTCCTTTCCAGCATCCACCCCAGGGTCTTCCTGCTAATTGTCTCCATGAGGAACTGGTTTGAGACACGCCTGACCACTCCTCGGAGCAAACTATTTTTCGCTGTGCCCCGCACACACTTTTCTTTTATTGTGCTGAGTGTGTGGGAGTCTGTCTCCTCTTGGTTGTGAAGGCTCTCCTTGCATCTGGCGATCACCATTAGTGGGTCGAGCATAATTCGGCCATTGGATGCTGTTTTGCCCGCAAGTTCATCAGCTCGCTCATTTCCGTGCACCCCTGCGTGACCAGGGCAGAACAGCTCTCCAGTCACTACTCCTGATTTTTTTTCTAGGGTGCTCATCGAATCTGTGACTAACAGGGCATGTTTATTGTTGTTCTACGTCTGTCAAACATAAGGAAACATTGATAAATGTGTGCGTCAGTTAGTTAAAAAACAACTCCAAACCGATGGTAATTGTACATTATGTTGCTTGCCCCATCGACACCACCAGGAACAAAAAGGAGGCAGGTTGATTTGATCTGGCCAGCCACGGTTTTGCCGGGCTGAGAGGGATACGTTGGTGGCTGGCTGGTGTGGTTTGCTTCTTCTTTCCTATGAAACATCTATCGTCCGTATCTCCTCTACACTCTTTTTTATTTTTGTTACTCTCTTGTAACACCTCTAATCTTCTGGCGCTCATATGATCTTATGCAGTTTCGAGCGCCGTTAAACCTCTACTAAAACTAAAACTAACCAACTAAACTGAGAGGGATACACAGTCTTTATATGATAGTAGACGGACGGAGATATTTGATAAGAATATTTTTTCCCCATTTATTAGGAACCGAGCTTAGGTTTTCTGCAGCACTGGGCCTAACCGGCATACCATACATGTAAGTTCGGTATCGATCCAAGATTGGGAGAAGCTGTGCTTACTCACTCACTCACTCACTCACTCACTCACTCACTCACTCACTCACTCACTCACTCAGACACTTATCTATCCTTTTTTCTTCCACTCCACAGTCCTGTACACTGTAATCACTCTCACCCTTGAGGTGTTCGAGCCCGGGTGGTCAGCGGAACTGGATGACGTGACGAGCGCCCGCTACCGAGTCCTCGCAGATCCCTTCTGTTCTGATGTGAGTAGTTGTGGTAGTAATAATAGTAGTAACAATAGGAGTGGTATAAGCCGCTGACTATGGTTCGAACCCTCAAAGGAACGTTATTTAAATACAGTGGGGTCAAAAATTCGTGGCGCAACTTATTGAGGAATATCATCTCATCTATCAGACACAGACTCTCTAGATTTTGCACGATGACTTATATCAACTTATCTCAACAGATCGATACTTTTGTAAACGTCCATTAGCTAGCTGTACTCTAGAAAATTATATTAATGAATACTAATAAAATATCCCAGTGGGTGGTTTCTACAGACATTTTAAAAGGCTCACGCCTCATGAGACTGCGAGACTGTTTTTCTCTTATAAAATTTTACACTTATGCATTTATATTATAATGTATAATACTTTGTTTTACGTACACACATGTCGATTAATTTTTAAGATGTGATGTCTTTTTCGTTGTAATGCG